AGAATGGAAGTATGGGTAAAACCAGTATTAGGACTGGCGAACTTATGATGGTGATGGTGATGGTCATTATTATAATGGCTAAAGTATTATTATTATAATGATGATGATGATCATCATAATCATGACTAAATCGAAGTGGATTTCACTTTTTTCCCAGCATTTCTTTAAATCTCCCGGTTTTTAATTAAATAACGTGTTTCACTATCCCCTACGTCAGTGATTCCCAACCGGTGGTTCGCGAAAATAATATTGTAATGGCGGATTTTTTAAGACGCCATTAAAATCAAAAGCAAAAAAAACAAAACAAAAACACAAAAATTAAAGAACACACCCACTGTAAAACAGATTGTTAGCTGCCTATTTGTTAAGAAATCTATAATAAGTTTCAATATTTTCATTTCGTTTTTCCTTATTTGTTTTTCAAAATTACTTCATCAATATCAAAATATATCAACAATTTATTCCTCTTATTCAAGTAATCAAATACTATTCTCTTTTTATTACAAACATTTATCTATATTTAAAACATTTCATCAATGTGATTAGTATCATGATCTGCTTTATATTTAAAATCATTGCAGCAGTTTTCCCTTCTATGTAGTATTTGTTTTTACAATACAATTAGAAATAAATATCAAATTAAAGCAGTTTACTATATTTAAATCATTTTAGTCTTATTAATGTTTTAGTTAAATGTTTCACGATTAATATAATCAATTATTCTGCAATATGAAAATATATATTCTATCAAATTTTATTGCTTTTTTTTACCTGTCATTAACGACTACATAGGGGGGTTCGTCAAATTTTTTCGGACCTTTCTTTTGGTTCGCGAAGAAAAAAAGGTTGGGAAACACTGTTTTAAAGGAACTACGTATCGTGCGTAGAGCACCGTAATTATTGCGCCGCGACCTTTTTCCGTGCGTATTGGGCCGCGACTATGTACAGTCATAATTATTCAAAACTTTAATCACTATAAGTTTATGCGTTTTGTGTTTGTATATTTTAAATATAAATTTTTACTGTCCTTCACACTTTAATCCAGACTTACGACTGGCAGTTTGGTTCGACAAAACAGGCCTGTTTTAAAATATAAATATTATTCATGTTTGTCATGGTATGTACAAAAAATTAAACATAATTAATAAATGTAGGTGCAATTGTGTCATATTGTAATTCTAGACACCCACTATTATAATATTTGGGCGTATGATAACGCTTTCAAACACATCTCTAAGTTATGATCTACCTGAATTTTTTGTAGAATAATCTTTATTCTTATATCTTGCTGTACATATTTGATTTGATTAGAACTACAATATGACACAAATACAACTACTACATTTATTAATTACATTTAATTTTTCTGTACATACCATTACGAAGATGAATGATTTTTATACTTGAAAACACGCCTATTTTGTCGAACAAAACTGTCAATCCTAAGCCAGGATTAAAGTGTGAAGGAATGTAAAAATTTATATTTAAAATATACAAACACAAAACGCATAAACTTATAGTGATTAAAGTTTTGAATAATTATGACTGTACATAGTCGCGGCCCAATACGCACGGAAAAAGGTCGCGGCGCAATAATTACGGTGCTCTACGCACGATACGTAGTTCCTTTAAAACAGTGTTTCCCAACCTTTTTTTCTTCGCGAACCAAAAGAAAGGTCCGAAAAACTTTGACGAACCCCCTATGTAGTCATTAATGACAGGGAAAAAAAGGCAATAAAATTTGATAGAATATATATTTTTCATATTGCAGAATAATTGATTATATTAATCGTGAAACATTTAAATAAAACATTAATAAGACTAAAATGATGTAAATGTAGTAAACTGCCTTAATTTGATATTTATTTCCAATTGTATTGTAAAAAAAATATTACATAGCCACCCTCGTA